GAGCGGCCCCCCCCCCCCCCCCCCCAAAAAAAAAATATTACTATTATTATATAGAAAAGAAAGATAGATTATTTCAAGTGCTTTATTATATTTTGCTAAAAGAGTTTCTAGTGATTGGCGAGCGAAGTTCCCAACAAGGCAGGACCAAGATCGAAAGGTTGAAGAACATGGGCAGTGGCTAGTAGTACTTAACATTGAATATTAGAAATTAAAAGGATTAAAAATACACAGCACTGTAACTTTACAGTTAGGGTTTATAAGTTTGAAACACGAGGGCGTGCCCTCCAACTTTAATCAGTGGAGACTCCTAGATATCGTCAAAGTGGTGAAAACATGTACCGTGGTAAGAAGTCTAAAACTAATTTTCACATTGTTTCAAACATGGTTGGAAATTGCACCATGTGGCGGTGCACAGTCGGTTAAATGGCCATATTTATGTCCGAGAAGGCAAGAATCATTTCAAGAACTCGTGATTAGTATATAAACTTGAGAAACAATCATTTGCAACATTTCTTCTGAGCTCAAACTTTAAACCTAAAGATAGTAATCTCGATTGGATCTATAATTCATGCTCGATTATACAAAATACATATATTAAGGGTAACTCCTGTCTAAAAATACGGTGCAATGTAAATGATTTTAAGAGGAATGTTGGTAGCCATTGAATGAATCTGTCAAATGGGTTTATTGAAACATACGCTATTTTATATTATAGATGTTAATGGTGTATGTAGCACAAATTTGTAGAGTTGTGATATTTTAGGGATCGGAGAATCTCAGGGATACTTGGTCAAAGCTCCTAGGCTCTTAGGGATTGAACAAGGATGATGGAGAATTGTAAACAAATAATTTATAGTAGTTCACCAGTTCGGGTGCCTTATTAATCTACTCTTAAGGGAGTCTCTTAATCTTGTGGGAGATTTTATTGATAAAAAGGGGGGATTACACAGAGTATGTGCTTAGACTAGTTGCTTGTCTTTCATTGTGAGGGATGTGCCTCTTATTTATAGCCTCCCAAGGCTTCATCTAATTTTCTGGCATGATCCTTACCCCCCATTCGTAATGATTGCGTTTGTTATGAAGTTGTCGTGGATGTTGCGACTTTCTTGCCTAAGTGTGAGATAGTTGAGCTTTATGTGTAACGCTTAGGCGATTTCCAGTTGTCATTCTTGCTGTTACCTTGGCAGCATCATTGCTGGGGAAAGAGTGACCCGAGCAGCCCTAGAAGCTCACTATGAGCTGTGTGATATGGACTCAATCAACCTGAGTTAAACGCGTTAGCTCAACCTTAGCCATATTTTAAATATCATTAGCTGCCCCCAGTCCCCAGTCAGGTAGATTACTTGAGTTGGGGCTGACTAAAGCTTTGGTGAGTGAGTC